CATGAGTAAAACGTGAATGAAACATGTACAACAACAACACTTTTTATTTAAGACAGTGAAGTAGTAAGCCTAAACTGTTTCTGTTTACCTTGTTTTGTTTTGTTTGTTTGTTTGTTTGTTTGTTTTTTTCAGCGGAGCTTAGCCGGCTTTTCGTTTGAAATAGATGAACGAACCCCGCAGAAAGACTTTCTCTTTAATCTTTGTTTTTGCAACAATTAAAAACTTTCGATTCTCTTGCCATTCAGTTAGCAAACAGAAAAACTTTTTTTAAGGTGTTGTATTTTAAACTAATAACGCGGGGCCATTCAACATCGTCTCTTTTTTTTCTTGGCACTGTAATTGACATAAAACAATTATCTTGATCTCACAACAAAAGTGAAACGAGACAAACACATCCAGCCCCTAAAAGCGAGTAAGCGGATCAGGAACGCTTAAGGTTTTTCCTGTAGTCTGATGTATTAAAATCCTGAATGTTAAACGTTCACAAATTTGAATCCCGTTGCGAAGCTGTTCTTAGCCCAAAAACCAAATGAACAAATCAGCTTTGAACAACTGAAGAATCTTGATACCAGTTGCATTTTATTTTGTGGCAGCAATGGTAGGACGCGAAAAGTTAAAAATTTCAGTGAAATGACCAAAGATTTTCCCTGTACACTGCCGTGCGAACCAGCAGGAACTTAAACAAACGTAGCCAATGATGACTCCCGGCCGTTCCGACACTTGCCTCAAAAAAACCAAATAAACAAATCAGCTTTGAATAAAAGAAAAAAGAATCTTGACAGCAGTTCCATTTGAGTAGAAGAACATATTAATTTTGAAACTTAATGGAAATACCGAAAGGCTTCAGTTGTCGGCAACATAGTCTCCATATCATGCGATCGGCAAACAAATTTTTAGATGCTGCATAAGTTCACCTGTCAAAATTATAACCAATATGAGACAAGTGGTCCTAAAAAGTGACCAAGTAAAAAGCAAACCCTTCAGAATTCATTTCCGAAAGAGTTTTGGCGAGGATTTTAGTCTTCAGTAGCCAATTAACAGGCAAGAAACATTATTGACAATAGAATCGCATAATTGAACTAATAAGTGTCTGTAAAACGCGGACCGGATACCTGCGGATGGCGGATGCGGATGGCAAAATGCGGATAGAAAAATGCGGATGGAAAAAAATGCGGATAACAAAAAAAGTAAGAGGAAAAAAAACGAGAAATGTGGATGGCAAAAAAATAAAGAAACAAACAAACAAACAATTAAGGAAAGAAATCTTTCTTTCAAGTAGCTGTCACATGGTTGGACCCCTCACTTACATACAGAACGTGATGCCAATAGTTGGCACAGTTTTGTACCCTGCAATTCCTTTCATTAATGTCACAGAAATAAGAACGCTCCGTTCACCTCCTTAATGCACGCATACTTGGTGCACTTCTCCTTTGAGTGCTTAGCTTAAGGCTTGCAGGCAAGGTAAACAGCTAAAAAAATCGGCTAGCAAAGAAGGTGTCTGCAAAACGAGGACTGGATACCCGCGGATGGCGAATGCGGATGGGAAAATGAGGATAGAAAAAATTGTGAACAATAACAAAAACAAAAAAACCCCACAAATTTGGATATATAAATTGCGTCACTAAAACATTTCTTAACAAAACACGTGTATAACGTTGTTCGGACAACAACAAAAAAGGACTAAATTTCCTCAAATTAAAAGAAAATTAGAGAAAACAAACTAAACCAAAAAATAGGGTGAACTACGCGAAAAAATCGGCGTGCTCTGCTTGGCCTATTCCACGCTCGTCTCCACTAAATCGCCATGTTTCCTCACAAAGGAGCCTGATCTTCAAAAGGGCTCATAATACAAACCAACTTTCGCTCTGCCTTGACTCTGGTCGACTCTGTCATAGCAGACAGTTCAGAGAGTGATTGTGAACTGCAGACACCTGCAGAAGCCCGTTTTTGAGATCAAAAGCTAAGCTACTGTTATACTAGTGGTCTTCTGTTACACAATTTCCTCTCGGTTTTGTGTGAATCGGTCTTGTTTAATGAGGGTTTTTCTACAGAAATTCATTTTCAAGCAATATGCCGCACCCTCAACAAAGTCATTTTTCTGGCTTTCGTCTAATTTTCACAGTTTTACGAAAAGCTTCCATCAACATATAAAAAATGCTGATCTGGTGTAGACATAGCTAAAAAAATTCATAAAGTCTTCTTAGGAAGCAGCTTGTTTTTTTTTCTGATTTGTAATAATTAAAAATCTTTCCATGTAGAAAAGTATGTTTGGTTGCTGCTTCGCAGATAGACGGGAGCGGGCCGAATAATTCGAATATTATAAAAATTATTTTCGATTCCGAATTCTGCCCTTCACGCTTTTAAAAACGAGTTTTAAGTTGTTCGATACAGACGTTCTAAACACTCACTGAGGATATGTTTTGGAAACTATTTTGCTAGTAGAAAAATTAGCAATAAAAACAAATGAAACAGAAAGTAGCCTTCATTAATGCGTTTCCAAGTGACACTTTTTTGCGGGAGTCTAATTTTGCAGATTAGGTGATTTTTTTACACCCTTTCGGGAAATAACTTTTGCGATTGATCAAGAAGTCTGGTTTTTCTTTTCAATCTGCAGTATATTTTGCAATTTTAAAAATTCGAACTGCTTATTCGTGCACTTAATATAAATTCCCAAAGGTTAGAACTTGTAGAAAATAAATCCTCATGATAGGCGGAGTTGATTGGCATCTGCCAAATCGGAAAGTTACGTTTTTACGTTCGGCCTTTTTTCTGGTTGATGCTGCAATTTTTTCTGTCTTGAGCCGCTCAAACAAATAAGTCTTGATTTGATTGCCCTGAGAATATTCTTTCTGTAAGTTGAGTACACTATATCCAGTGACAGCAAAGAAATCAGAACTCCAGGTCAGAATGATTTGATATTAAAAATTGTTTGTCGTTTGTTTTGCAAGTACTAACACCCATGCCTCCCCCTCTTAGCGTGAAAACCATGAAATTCCGAAGAAAGTAATGTTTAAAAAAATAGCGATCACTGCCGAAAGTAAAGACAGACTGTTTGTGAATTACACCGCTTTAGGATGTTGGTCTGGTAATATTCTGCATTCTGACCGGTGATTGCAGGGACCACTGGCTCCTTATTGGGTAAAGAAACGAATATTAAACGGTGCCAGTGCAAAATAAGCAAACCTTTGCTAGCCGATTTTTTGAGCTGTTTACCTTGCCTGCAAGCCTTAGGCTAAACACTCAAAGGAGAAGTGAACAAAAGTGCATTTTTTCGCGTAGTTCACCCTATTTTTTGGTTTAGTTTGTTTTCTCTAATTTTCTTTTAATTTGAGGAAATTTAGCCCTTTTTTGTTGTTGTTGTCCGAACAACGTTATACACGTGTTTTGTTAAGAAATGTTTTAGTGACGCAATTTATATATCCAAATTTGTGGGGTTTTTTTGTTTTTGTTATTGTTCACAATTTTTTCTATCCTCATTTTCCCATCCGCATTCGCCATCCGCGGGTATCCAGTCCTCGTTTTGCAGACACCATCTTTGCTAGCCGATTTTTTTAGCTGTTTACCCTGCCTGCAAGCCTTAAGCTAAACACTCAAAGGAGAAGTGCACCAAGTATGCGTGCATTAAGGAGGTGAACGGAGCGTTCTTATTTCTGTGACATTAATGAAAGGAATTACAGAGTACAAAACTGTGCCAACTATTGGCATCACGTTCTGTATGTAAGTGAGGGGTCCAACCATGTGACAGCTACTTGAAAGAAAGATTTCTTTCCTTAATTGTTTGTTTGTTTGTTTCTTTATTTTTTTGCCATCCACATTTCTCGTTTTTTTCCTCTTACTTTTTTTGTTATCCGCATTTTTTTCCATCCGCATTTTTCTATCCGCATTTTGCCATCCGCATCCGCCATCCGCAGGTATCCGGTCCGCGTTTTACAGACACCCATTAGTTCAATTATGCGATTCTATTGTCAATAATGTTTCTTGCCTGTTAATTGGCTAATTGGTTTTACAGACACCCCATTCTAATTGGTTAACGAAGCGAAGTATTTAGCTTGGAATTGCGAGTTGAAAACGAGGCTAAGTGATATTGTTTCGCATCTACGTAACAACTATCGTTAAATTCTAACATAACAACTGCAAAACTTTTTTCTACAATGTCTCGAGCAAATGGTTTGGAAATATGAGAAAAGATGCTGTAGATAAACGGCTTGTAAATTCAGTGAAATACCACTATTTATTCTTGAGCTTAGTTTGAAGCTTGCTTAAAAAGTTTGAAAACAAATCTAAAAACAAGCACAAGGTACAAATAAAGTTGTCAAGTTTGAAACGTGTGTAAGACTGACCTTGCTTCCTATTCGCTAAGACAATGACAGTTCTGACAGTTGACTTTGAAATAGCTTTCTGGAGTGTGCGCTCAGGATAAAAACAAGCAATATTATTGCTGTTTTCCTTTTTTGTTATTTTTATTCAATTATGCGATTCCAGGAAAATCCATTACCTGACTCGTGAATTCCAAGTTAAAATTCGCTTGAAAACCGATATCGCACGCATCGCTTCGCGATCCGTGCGATATCGGTTTTCGCGTGCAATTTAACGCGGAATTCCCTCGTCAGGTAATGAATTTTCCTATAATATTGCGCAAGTTTAAAAGGAATCTCAATCTGTTTTCTAATTAGGATACAATTACGTCATAACATTGTCAAAGTGTTGTGAACATGCAAACTTTAAACAATAGAAAATAATAAATGAATTTGTTGTTCAGGGCGACCATACTTTACAGATTACTCATGTTCACCAAAACTTTGAACACTTCATCCTAATGAAGGTAGCTCCAATCAGGTTTACAAACGCCGACAGATCCTAAATGTTAATGTTGATGTACAAACAACTGTATAGCCGACCTGGAACTAAACACAAGTTCTCACAATATATTATCAATTTAAAACTTTCGTGAGCTAAGTTCAGAAAAACAATTAGGTATTCATTACAACTGATAGCAAAGTTCACTTATGACCATGAGCTGTCAACTCTTTCCGATTTCCAATTAAAATGGAATAAACATCCACAGGTTTTACTATATCTTGGTACAACAATGCCATTTCCTCCTTACTCAGCTTTCTTGCTGCGTCTGTGAATCGAGAATCATGCTGTAGACTATCTGGACTATCGGGATTAATTTCACTGATTGTGGTACATAGTGTGCTTCTGCTGCGCTTTCGCGGTTGTACTTCACTGGGGTGAAGATGGTTCATTTCACTTTGGCTGAAGCGACGTCCCTCTGGCACCTCTAACAGCGATTTCCTCTTCTTTTCTCTGTCGTGGATAGCAGATGGGTTAGGCTTTATGATCTCAAATAACCTCATGTTACATTGCCTCTCTATTTCAGCAAAAACTTCCGACCAGCTTTGATAATCTTCCAACTGAATTGTTATACTCATGACAGTAACAGTGACTGTGCGAGCAATATTGAAAAATGTTTTTAATAATTATTTTGTTTGAAAAACGCATTTGCATATGATTAGCGGCTCCCTACAAGATTCCGAATGTTGCGTAAATGGCTTTTTATTGATATCAAACTTTTTCTCTGTGGATGAAATTGAGACCTGTAACCAAGGCGTTTACAGTCAACAGTTTGTTGGATACGACACATTTCACGTCAACGCTCATTTTTTGCCACTCTGTAAAACATAACAACAAGACCACGAAAGCAATGATTTTAATGGTCGGCGGACCTGTAAAACATTCTTCGCTCCACAGATTTTGGGCTTTTATCATTTATTCCTGCGGTCTGAAAAAAAAAACATGCATTCTCACTCGAAAATGACTTGCCACCTACTACTTATAACGTCATATCTCGTAACTATAGTAACTGACCATCACTAAACTTGTCTCAAAATGCGCCCGAGGGATAAACGAACAACAACCACTGAAAACTTCAGGTGCTGATGTTTTCTTGTCTAGGACCCTCCCCCCCCCGCCCCCGTCCTCTCCTTGTAGGCCCGAGTGTTAAAACTTTGTAAGCCTGACCCTTTTCATAAAGGATATCACTTTGACATTGGATGATAGATCAGTTTCTTAGTCAAGTGACTTGCCACATCCTTTTTCGCTATTTGTTTTGATTCAAATTTACATCACTTTAAGGGGATTTGACTTGATTTAATTTGTTTGCTATTTATGATCATAAGCACAATATTTTTGGAATTAATCAGGGTTGTTGGAAATTAATTGTTTTCTGCAAACTGTAACGTTTTCATTTTGGTGAGAGACTGGGGCAAGAAGAAAATATTGAATTTGTACCAAGGAATAAAATACTTTAAAAATTCCCCGATGAATTTGACGTGTTTAGCGTTAAACCAAATACAATAGAAGAAAAATTGAGAACCTTAAAGGTTTGTATAAGTGTTGTAATTCTAAAATAAATGTCAAAATAAATGTCAAATTTCACAAAATGACATCTTATACATGAAATTTTCAGAATTTTACCTGTGTTTTCACAATTCTTGTGAAATTTGACATTCATTTTCTCGACCTCCCATGAGAAATAGTCTTTGTTTGTTATTACAAATAACTAATTACATCTATAGCCCTTGAAAAATGTAAAAAAGAATGCGATATTGTTTAAATCACGTTTTTATCCACTGAAAATTGAAATTACTCAATTTCCTGATGGATTCCATCTTTAATTGTTTTTCCTTTTTAACTTAAGCTATCTCCCATTACTTAAGTTACCAGTTTACTATTATAGGGAATGAAGAAAATAATAACAAATTAAATGTGTTGTTCATGTTAAAGGCGTTTCCATAGCAACCATGTTTTGATATTCATGTTTACTTAAACTTTGAAATTTTCTGCTAATAGGAGGAATTTCGATACTTTAACTGATAGCCTTTGAGTGTAAACTTGAAAACTATTGAAATTCGTGCAACCTAGCTTCCGTCGAGTTTATCACTTCGCTTACGATTGACTCAGATTACTGATTTTCCTTGATCAGTTCCTATGCGCTCTAATGGCTCACGACTTCGTCTCTAATGAGAACCAACTTTAGACCCGCTGCGTACGAGCAATATTTTTTAATGCAAAAAAAAACATAACTTAACGAGTCTAGGCCGGAACTTACAGCTTTTAATTTGCTTTTAGTTTATTTTCATACAAAATTTACTAAACAGCACAATTCTTCTTCTTTATCGACTCCTCGTTAGTTCACTGTTACATAACCGGACAGAAAAAAGTCTCCTCTTTCTTCATAATGTCTGAAAGCATTTACTCGTTAAACTTGACAATTCCTGCGACGCGACTTTGCTTACAAAACCGATTTTTGATTTCCATCGGGTCATAAATGCTGTTATGGATCCGACTTAAGGTCTCTGATGATAACCAAAAAAACCCATCGTCTCGGTCCGTCGCCGTTATGATTTTATATTATGATTTGATTTTGACACTTAAACTCAGGCGAGCTGTTACAAAATATCAAGAACTACAACCAACAGACAGAGGGAAAAAAAATAAGTCTAAAGTCCGACAATAATTTGTTGTTGTTATTTTTTTTAAAAAAAATACGATTAAATTAAAAGATATAGTTTTGATTTTGCATTAAAACAATATCAGATCCCTAATGCAATGTTTGAACACGTTTTGACAATTACATTTAAAACTTTCATGAATTAGGAGAAACAAAAAGTTATTCATAAGAGGTGATGGCTAAGTTCACTAATGTCCATGACCAGTCATCTCTTTCCGATTTCCAAGAAAAATGGAATATACATTCACAGGCTCAACTATGTCCAGGTACAATAATGCCATTTCCTCCTTACTCAGCTTCCTTGCTGCATCTGTAAATCGAGAATCATACAGTAGACCATCTAGATTATCAAGATTAATCTCTTTTCTTGTGGCACATGGTGTGCTAATAGTGCGCTTTCCCGGTTGTACTTCACTGGGTTGGAGGTGGTTCTTTTCTCTTTCACTGAAGCAACGTCCCTCCCCAACCCGTAACAAAGATCTCCTTTTCTTTTCTCTGTTGTGGATAGCAGATGTGTTAGGCTGTATGATTTCAAATAACCTCATCTTGCGTTGCCTTTCTATTTCTTCAAAAACTTCTGACCAGCTTTGAAAATCCTCCAGATGAATGGTTATACTCATATCTACAACGAAAACTGTGCGAGCAATATTGACCAATACTTAAATAATCCTTTCGATTGACTACTTTCCACCTAAATAATTAGCAGCTAACTAAAAGTTTCAGAGTGTTTTGACAGTCTGAAAATACATTAAGGAATTTGCAATTTATTTATGTCGGTTCCTTTATCTCTAAAATCCTGGATTTGTAACCAAGGCGTTTTCTGCAAACATTAATCCTTGGATACGCTACATTTCACTACAGCACCGCCCTTGTTTTCACCGCCTATTTTCCAGTCAGTAACCCTGTAAGGCCCAATATCCACAGACAAATTCTCTAGAGACTGATCCCTATAGCTACTCGTAGAGAGTTTGTTTAAGAATTTAGAGCAATTTTCTTTTAACCCTATTCAGACTGGGGGGGGGGGGGGGGGGTTTTTTACACCCCCCCCCCGCAAAAGCGGGGAGAACCCCCACCCCAAAGAGCCAAGGACTTCAAAATTTTTTTCTTTTTCTAAAATTTTACTAGGGAAATTTTGGTATTATTAACATTTCCATTTTTTTTAACATTTTCCTCTGTAACCACATTTCTTCCACATAGCTTTTTGGAATATTTAAAAANAAAGTTGCTTTAAATTATAATTTTAACAAAAAAACGGAAATCCAAGATGGCGGATCCAAGATGGCGGACAACCATTTCAAATTTTAAATTTTATTGCTTCCTATTGCTTTTTCTCGCTGTACAAGTGTTTCCCTGTGACTAGTTCATAAGAAAGGATAACAAAGAGATGACTTTACCAATATTATTGATATTTTACGTATCTAAGCGGAAAAATAATAAGAAACATTGAAAAATCGGAATATGACGTCACTGTGACGTCATCATTGGGCGTGGCAAGTCAAAACTGGGTGTGGGGCTTCTTTGTACGGAGATGATCATTGTGTGTAAATTTCATGCCCCTAGTATTATTGGTTCCAGAGATACAGAGGGGGGGTCCGAGGAGCCCCCCCCAGTCACAGATTGACCAAAAAAGCCCAATCTGAATAGGGTTAAGGATCATTTTAAAAATTCTCCTGACCCTTTTTCTTGGTTACGCATTGATATTTTAAGGAGAAAATTGATGTTGGTCAGTCATTTAAAACAAAACAGCAGCACGTCTATAAAGGAATGAGTTCAGTGGCCAGATCTCTGAAAGACAAAATTGAAAAGCCAATCAAGGCGAGGAGATAATAGTCTGCTACACAGGCGTTTTTTATGTCGTCGCTCTCTGATTACTTATAACATAGCTTGTTTTGAAGTAGTGCTAAGTTCAAGTTCAAGTTCAAGTTCATTTATTCACACTTATTCATTTACAATACAATTACAATTTAAATGGCTTTCTCCAGCGCTTTGTTTATTGGCCGAGTGAAAACAAAGAAGCCGACCTTGCTGGAAGGTGGGTGCGTGGAGATTTGTCTTAACGAAGTAATGTCACCCTCTCCCGATGAGTTATTATTTGACGCTAGCGCCCAGTCGCCGCTGAGCGACGAAAGGGTTGAAATGTTACACTTTTAGTAGTCACGGATAAATGGCGCCGATTTTTGAACTGTAGTTGTACTTTTCGATCGAGTTATGCGATCCAAACGCAAGGTTTACCGGAACGGATTACAGGAAGGTGATTTTAAGGTACCACTTTTTGGATTCGGCGGCGTAAAATGTAAGTGTGTTTGTTTTTTCGCGTGAAATTTGGAGCTGATTCTGAGCGGCTTTGAAGATCGATCGAACGATTCTGTCCTACCTTGTCTCTTATTATTACACTCTCAGGTCAGATGATGTAAAAGTACTCAATCGCGCTGCAAAAACAAAGACGACTACTCCAGGTAACAATATTTACACGTTACTGATAACTTTTATCGCTCTTACTTCATTATTTCATCTAAGTTTCAAACTCTATTTCTCCCATACAAACTCTCATATTACGCTTGGGCTACCTTTGATTCAAGGTGGACAGACTGCAAATTATAGCACTTGCTAAAAAAGATATCTACGTGTCGTAACTGTTCATCAGTAGGATGCCTAAAATGTGGGCAATTCCACACGTCAATTAAATAAACAAATAAATAAATAAATATTGCACACGCACAAAATAAAACTGTGCGCGCACACGTACTAACTTAAAGATACAACTGAAATACAAATCTAAGTAATAAATAAGTGATGTAAGGGTACGATGGTGCAATTCAAGTCTGGATTGCTAATCTCTTCTCCCGCGGGGCTGCACGATACTTTCGACTATAGGACCACGGCGATTAAAGAATTTATTAAATGATTTCTGAAATAGATTGGTTTCAGCGCCTTGTTGTCTGAGACGTAATGAAAGTCCGCGGATGACATTGTGCGCATTGCCTAATCCGGTTCCGATTCCAATTTTTGTTCTCCGATACGGTTTCAATCCTGACTCCAATTACTATTTCGATTCGGATTACGATTACCCCTCCGATTATGATTCCAAATCTAATTCCAAATTCAATTACGATTCTGATAGCGACCTCGTATTTCGAATTCGATTAACCCTCGGACATCCAGGGGGGGCGGGGGTGGTGGTGCAAGCCACCCACCATAAGGTTTTTCTCAGATTTTCCTAGAGGATAAAACATCAGTACCTGAAGTTTTTAGTAGCTGTTCATTCATCCCTTGAGTAGCTTTTTAAGACAAGTTTAGTGATGGTCAGTTGCTATGGTTACGAGCTATGACGTCATAAGTAGCAGGTGCTCAAACCAATTTTGGGTGAAAATACTTGTTTTTTCAACTTCTTTCAACAACAAAAGTAAATCTTGCGGCTTAAATCATGCAAAGTGCTTATTTATGTTTTATTTTTCATGTAAAGCAAAAAAAAATTACCATTTCTCGCGATTTTAACGTGATTTCTTAGATGGCGACCATTGTTGGTGACTCCACAGGCCTCCAGCAGCGCCACCACCCGTAAAATATACCTCACCTTGTTAAGAAGATCAAAGGCTTTCCACTAAAGGTAAAATCATTTCGAAATACTGCAACATATCAAAAACTCTGTAAACATTAGGTTAAGGGCCAGCAGTAAGAATAAGGGGCAAAATTTAAAACAAGTAAACAGGAAATTTAGTAATAAATATAAAATTTTAGCCGTCGTTATGATAATCTGTATTTTTTCCATTGGGGACAAAAGATCGATGCTCAGATTTCAATAACAACCACGGCCATACGAGCAGAGGGTGGTCTGCCTGTGGTTTGTCGCGGTTTTGTGTACTCACGAATTGTTGCTAGGTAACTGGGGAAGTTTTTATCCACGGCGTGTTCCACGGAGTATTCAAATTCCGAGAAAACTATAAACCTCGCTATTGCTAGGGCCTTCGGCCGTCACTTCGCGGGTAAACAGTATGTTTCAGAAATATCTTCCCTCACATGTCCCGCTAAATTACAAAACCGCTTTCATGTGCACGAGCCGAAATTTAGGGGAGTGTGGCGCCACGTTTCCAAGGGAGCAAAATTCTTGGATTTCAACAATCTTTCTTGACATGAAACGATTGAAGAGAAGTACGGGTTACCGTTTTATTTCTGAGTCTAATCATGCACAGGAAAGTCATACATGTCAATTTTTTTTTTCCTTTGCCATATTTGCAGGACCACTGTTAGTTGAGATCCAGACATTTTGCTACCATGGCAACGTGACGTAACGACTTCTTCTCTATTGTCTTGAAATGGGTGATCACGCGATGGGTGATCATGAAAACACTTGAACCACGTTTTAAAAAATTATTTCATGAGTTAAAGAAAAGCCTCAATCATTAGGGCACCCTCTATATTTTTTTTGGCATGACGCCCTAACGTCCTTTTTGATTTTATGATTTGGTTAAGTGAGAGAGAATGAAAAGGTTGACTTGACATGTTAAGTTTGTCTTTTTTTGCCTTTGCCATATTTGCAGGACCACTGTTGGTTGAGATCCAGAAATTTTGCTACCATGGCAACGTGACGTAACGACTTCTTCTCTATTGTCTTGAAATGGGTGATCACGCGATGGGTGATCATGAAAAAACTTGAACCACGTTTTAAAAAATAATTTCATGAGTTGAGGAAAAGCCCCAATCATTAGGGCACCCAACCTCGTCCCCAGGGCTGTTGTTGTAGGGCACCCTCTATATTTTTTTTGGCATGACGCCCTAACGTCCTCTTTGATTTTATGATTTGGTTAAGTGAGAGAGAATGAAAAGGTTGACTTGACATGTCAATTTTGTCTTTTTTTCCTTTGCCATATTTGTAGGACCCCTGTTGGTTGAGATCCAGAAATTTTGCTACCATGGCAACGTGACGTAACGACTTCTACTCTATTGTCTTGAAATGGGTGATCACGCGATGGGTGGTCATGAAAAAATTTGAACCACGTTTCATGAGTCAAAGAAAAGCCTCAATCATTAGGGCACCCTCTATGCATTTTTTGGCATGACGCCCTGACGTCCTCTTTGATTTTATGATTTGATTAAGTGAGAGAGAATGAAAAGGTTGACTTGACATGTCAATTTTGTCTTTTTTTCCTTTGCCATATTTGCAGAACCCCTGTTGGTTGAGATCCAGAAATTTTGCTACCATGGCAACGTGACGTAACGACTTCTACTCTATTGTCTTGAAATGGGTGATCACGCGATGGGTGATCATGAAAAACCTTGAACCACGTTTCATGAGTTAAAGAAAAGCCTCAGTCATTAGGGCACCCTCTATATATTTTTTTGCATGACGCCCTGACGTCCTCTTTGATTTTATGATTTGATTAAGTGAGAGAGAATGAAAAGGTTGACTTAACGCTTTTTTGTAAAGAATTTTACTTCGAAATGTTGTGAAAACATTGGGGTTTTTTTTTCGGCTATCACTCAAAACTGTCCAACCATAACTAAATAAACCTAACCTCCAGCTGCACACTGAAATGTAATTTATTTTGAGACTTTATTTTTAGGACAGATAATAACTTTAGCTACATAACAAAAAAACCCGTAGTAAAAAAAAAAGGACTACAGCAATTTACATTTACTTTTATAAATTACAGTTACATGGAGGACATTCATTGCATAATCTTCAAGTTCGATGATTTAGATTCTACTGATAAATATAAAGACAGAAAATCTTCAGTCGTAAGAGAGGAGTTTAAATTCACTTAAAAGTTCAATTGCGATATGTCATCTTAGTTTCTTTTCGTTTTTCAATCAAAATTGAATAGACATCAATTGGCTTGACGATGTCCTCGTACAGTAATGCCATTTCCTCCTTGCTCAGCTTCTTTGCTGCTTCTGTGAATCGAGAATCATTATGTAAATTATAAGGATTAATTCCATCACTGATCGCACAACACGGTGAACTTGTACTGCGCGCAATCGGCTGTATTTCGGCGGGTTTGTGATTGCTCTTGTTCGCTCCTCCCAAACTGATGCGACGTCCCTCTTGAACAGGCCGTAAGGACGATTTTCTTCTTTTTTCTCTGTCATGGATAGCAGATGGGTTAGGCTGTATGATCTTGAATAATTTCATCTTGCGTTGCTTTTCTATTTCTTCAAAAATTTCTGACCAGCTTTGAAAATCTTCCAAATGAATTGTTACGCTCATGACTGCTCTGACAGAAGATTCCCAGTGAGTGAGTACGTGCTTGCGGTGTATTTATTTTTATGTGGTTGAAGGTTCTTAAATCCAAAAATGGTCAGCACTTATTTTCTCCTTAGTTGTACCGTACATTTATTAGCAATCGAGTAAGGAGAATAAGGAGTATTTGACCGGTAACGAGCGGGTGATCAAAAGGGTACGATTTAACATCGCTTGACGTCAATCGCCTTATTTGTTTAAAACATGTGTCAATTCCCTTTGCTACGAAACATTTCCTTAGACCCGGCATGCAACTTAGACTTCTTAATTAAATTGTGAAGGGTTCAACTTGGTTCACTGTTACCCTTAATGCTACCGTGCAACAAACTCAACCGGACATTTTTGAAATGCAAACAAAAAGACCTCGTTTTTGATTGGTAAAGGAACTAACAAAGTGAGAAGTCGGTCCTCTTTGTGTCTTGAACGTGGCCTGTGATTGGCCGACTTATGATACGGGGACCCGGATGTGGAGGAGCTCGATGGTTTGTAATTTGAGGCCTACTTGTTAGGGTTAGGGTTAGGGTTCATTCAGGCCATAGATTTGCTACTCCTTCATCCCCACTTTAAAGGAGCTGTGACAAGAAATTTATAAAAATTCAAACATTGGAAAAAGAGAACAAGTTGTACCCATCGCTTTAACGTGCGCCTTACTTCCTCCTTCCCCTCCCCTCTTAAAGGCCTGCCGCGTAGTCCAAGGCACCACCTATTAGTGCAGTACACGCGACTCCTTCTGGGTAATTAAGCGCGCACAGGTTACCCGGTAATGACAAACGATATAAAATAAATAGAGTTTAATTTACCGTAGTACTCGTATACACCCAATGCAAAAATGGCTGCCAGATTAATATTCTTTTGTTTAAATTAAAATTAGCCCATAGTCTAGCTTGAGATAAGGTATTCTTTTGAATTTTGTACTGGAGAACGAGGCTAGTTAGGCTTATTTAAATTCAGACAAAAGAATATTAATCTGGCAGCCATTTTTGCATTGGGTGTATAGCATGTAATTATCGTCGGTATTTTATCGTGGTTTCGATATTAATTCAATATTTTCTCTTCAAACGTCAGTGATACATGTATGAAAAATCGACAAACACTTCCCATTCATAACCTTTTAAGCCCTATTATCCGCATACAAATTTTCCAGATTGATCACCACTACATTTTTTAAGAACTAGTTGATCAGAGAATTTTTTGTTGAAAGATCAAAGTATCTTTCGAAGCCACGCATTAATCCTGAATGATGTTGGTTAATCATATTGAACCGAGCAACATCTAGCATTAGCTAGAAAAGTGTTCGAATGATCAATAAGTGCTTCCAGCAAAATTGGACCAAAGCTTAAAAAAGAAGCGATGACCGGAAATACGTTCGCAGGCTAACTAATGGGTGGGTCTGTGGTTAAAAGCGGTCCATGGAAATCGATTTTCATTTGTGAATTTGGGATCTGCATTAAAATATTCATCACTCCTAACTATCAATATTTTCTAAAACCGTTTTGAAATTCTTCATTTGCCAAAGAAATAGTTTGTCGGAAGAAAAGGCATCTTTACGACTTGAGCGTCGATCTTCTTCTTGTACACTTCCAACTGAAGACTTGTTCCTGGTTTGGAGAATTCCGTTGGCACATACGCCATCGCAATGTTCTGTTTGAGGCTCGGTGATGGACCTCCGCTTGTCACGTGACCTGTGAAATAAAGAAAGTAAAGAACGGCAGAGGTCGTACCCTTTTTTGAACAAAAAATTCAAGGACTCTTCAAGGACTTTCATGGACACATTTCCCATCTTTCAAGGACTCCATTGAGGGCAAAAAAAGAACCTCGAGTCTGTCTTTTTTAGTTCTTCCACAACATGAGTAATTTTAGCGGAGCTCCAGCGCGTAAAGCGCACCAGCGGAGCACCATGGGTAAGAAAATGAAGTAATCTACCCATCCGAGAAAATTTGGTAATCACGTGACCGTACACCGACCGACCGACCGACCGAGAGACCGTCCGTCCGCACCACAGGCATACCAATGTAAAATAACTCAATCAACAGGTATGGCAACCCAAATGCAACTCGAGGTTATTTTGGCGGGAAATCGCATAGCCACCCGCGTCTTGTAAAGCAAAGACAACAAAAGAGTCAATAAAGACGAAAACGGAAAGCGGAAACTTTTTCTGTATCCGTGTTGTCTAAAGTATTACGGTTAGATAAATTGTCATGTTCACAGATTTGGAATATAGAGCAAGAGAAAGACAGAGAAAAGGAGAACGTGGGCGGCAGGCCAGCGAAGCTCAACGAGAAAAAGGGCGACGGAGATTTAAAAAAAAACATTGTAGCGGCGGTGATAAAATGAGAAATGCTGGCGGCCACCAATAATGCAGGGTGAAAATGAGCGGCAGTGGAAAAAAGTGAACGAGAACACGTACGACATTTCCTCCATAACACGTGTAACTAAGAAGTTTCTGGAAGTTTCACGTTGTAGTCGTGCAAAACAACGGAAAAGAAATGTACAAAAAAAGTGTGCTGCACGAGCAAAGTTGCTTTTTTGTTAATTAGACCTATTGTTGTTTTTCACCTTTCTCGGCGTTGCATGCCTTCGCCGCTTAGCATTACTATACAATATTTGATATTTTGTTTGAACAAACTATAAATAGCTTCGCTTTTAGCCCAGGCTAAATCTGTATTTTATCCCAAGGTCTTTCTGTGTTTGCTTCTTTTCCTTTGGAATTCTACTTAAACTATAATAAAGTTAGCATTGAAATTCAAGGACTTTCCAGCACTGACTGCAATTTTCAAGGACTTTCAAGGTGTAAAATTCAAGGAATTTCAAGGTGCGTGCGAACCTTGGAACGGGGAAGCTTTCATTTTACCGGGTAGCCTGAGGAAGCAGCCGACATTTTGGGACGCTGCCACTGGTTTCCCTGCGAAATGACGTCTGAAAAACCAGCGCTGAAATTCCATACCGCTGACGCGTCACGACCTAGATCTGAGTAGTACTTTTGATTGCTTGAAACAAATTTCTCTTATGGTGCGACCAATCACAAGCACTACCCTGAATTGAGTAGCGACACGTCATCAGTATGGAATCTGCGCCCGTTCCTTCGACGTCATTTCGCGGGGAAACCAGTGGAGGCATCAAGAAATGTCGGCCGTTTTCTCAAGCTATTTACCGGGTGACCCATACCGCTGATATCTGTAGGGGCTCCCTGCCCGCAACCAAGCCTTGTTAACTGTAATATATAACAAACTAACTAACACACCGAACAATCTCTTACATATCGCTAGTCTGAAAGACTCACCAACTTTATTGCCAGCTTGATCCAGAATGGGCGCGCCACCTTCAAAGAATCATAATACTTGATTGTAAGAAAAAAGTTTTGTCAACTCAGTCGATAACTTCAGTACGAGCGTGTGATCAGTCTTTTGCCAAGATTCACTCCTGACGAAGGTTTAGAACTTAAAAAATAAGCTTTTGAATCTCTATGGGGCGGGATATTGAGTTTATTAACTGAGTTTATTAGCCCAATTCTTGTTGATTACTCCTATCTCTAACCGACGCTGCACTTAAGTTTCTCTGTTTTGAAACAACTAACAGGGGCACCCAACGAGGATATAGTTCAAAACCACTTAACATAGCATTGTTGAACGTAGTTTAGTATTCAAACGGTAGATATAGGCATATTTTTATCCTCTAAAAACTTTTCATCTGTTCGGATTTCCTAGCTGAAAGTCTAGTGATCCGAAAATTATAGGGATAAAAACTTACCTTCTCGAAAACTTCAGCCAGGAAAAGGCTCCCGAAAAGTCTAGGTGGCCTTTTTTAGGGTCAAAATCCGTTAAAATGGGTAATTATACCATTTTGTCGATGTTCGAAAATCCTAGGAGAGGCAGACAAGAAAGAAATTTTACAACAAATGCTCCGAAAATTCTAGATCTCAAATCGTCTTCCGAACAGATATTTTCCCGAAAATTGCCGTTGGGAGCCCCTGAACTAAGTCGTCATGTCAATAGCGCAAGACAAAAATATAAAAAAAAAATCAATATTGAGCCCTTCACACGATTCGAACCTATAGCTAACCTATGATCTGTAAAACACAGCAAAGCACTCATGCGGACCGAACAGGCTCCTTTTTAGGTGGTAGATGGCAAGCGTCACGATACGCCCTATTTACCTCGAGCTGGCGGTCCCTTTGATACTAATCCAACTCTTTTCTTTTTAGCTTTCTCTTTAATCTGTCTGAGGATAATTTCTGCTCCTGGAAAATCAGCTTGGGCACGGCGTCTTTTCCCTTTATGCAAAAACATAAAAATAAAAATAAAGTAAAATAAATAAACAAATGATAATAAATAAATGAATAATAAAAAAAAAAATACATAATACCATGAGAGGATATTACATGGCTGTGCGGAGATACGAAATTTCTCTTCGAGTGTTGAAAAATATTTCACGAGTGAGCCCAGCGAACGAGTGAAATACATTTGTAGTTTTTCAACACGAGAAGAGAAATTTCGTATCTCCAAGCGGCCATGTAATATTCTATTTATTATATGAACACCAATGAACTACCAAACCATTTCACTTTAACAGTTTTTTGGTGTGACAGGCACGATTTATTATGTAGCCAATAATTTCAATATTTTCACATGTGAAGATAACATGCTATTTTCACATATGAAAGATACCAAGTTTTCGCGCAAAAGCTCACCTGGTATTTCACTGGTGTTTATATAATAAAGACCATTAATCATTCAATAACAACAACACAACGAATGACTTTCATTTATTTTGTTCCCTTAATCATAACTAAAGCAAACTTCTCTAATCTGATTGGCTATCAGTGGCCCAGATCTGAATTTAATACGACAGTGATAGGAGGACAGTAGGAGTTTTTCCTATTTACTGTAACAGGAAATTAAAACCTTGGATGATTTTGTGTTTTTCTAAGAAAAAAAGGCTTAAATGACCACAAATTTTATTAAAGTTAT